GATTTTGAATTTCTTTAAATTCCCGATTGGTCGGGAGATTTACATGTGGATCTACATGAATCTAGAATTACGAGTACGAACATACATGTATGTTCTAGAAAATTTATGCTGGTTTTATCCCAAAGCTAGACAAGAATTATTTTTTATAGAATATTCGATTAAGCATTGAACTTATATATAATGTTAAGAAAATTTATTAATGAGGAGCCTGCTTAGTATCCAAATAATCAGTAATAATATGATGTTTAATTTTTTCTAATAATAATTTACATTTTTGGAACCAAATTTATTATGTCTATCATGGCTATCGTTATTTCAGACATTTCCCGACTTGGATGAAAAGAAATACCTATTTCTTTTAAATGGATGAGTTAGAGTTTTCAAGAATAAGTTAGCTTTGGGTAAATTTATACCGCTATAGAAGAGACAATATTTTTATTTCGTTCAGAAACATCCATATTCAAGTAGATGTATGTTAAAACATAACGCACTTCCTAAACAGTCGCACAATATCGATATCAAAACAAAACAAATGAAAATACAAAACGCATAAACAAAGAAGAATCTCATCGATCGTAATTCAACCTTTCAAGATCTCAAATCACCATCGACTCTACTATTTCGGGTGACGACGAACTCATTGGTCGTGGGATTTATGTTAGCAGCGTGACCAGAACCAAGTAAATCTCGATCTGGTCTCTTGCTGATTAGACATACCGGCAGTTTAGGTATCGGCTTTACGAAAGCATTCTTGATGTCTTTTGCTGATGTTCTATGGTGTATTTGAAAGTCGCTGATGGATATATAGGTCCAGCATGTAATCAAATCGGGGATATCTGTCGAAACCACGGCCTAGGACTTTATCACAACCAGGCCAAGGGATAAAGCGGGGGGGGGGGGGCTTGATTATCTTAGTCTTCAAACTCGAACTTAACAGGGATCGTTGAGATTTGTTGCAGTGAACAATATTGTTGTGTTGGATTTGCTCACAAGCCGATTAAACAGGGCGTCCTCAAATTGTTCTCCAGTCAGTTTGCCTATATAGAGTTGATTTTTCACATTTTCAGGTATGTCGAACGACATATACATTGTTAAGAGAGCTTTCTGGGCAGACGGGCATAGAGGGAG